GTCTTCATTGTTCGGGATAACGCGTCCTTTGAAAATCGGCGCGAGAGAACAAAACGGGACGCGACGAACGAACATGGTTTTCTTTAACGAGTCACCAAGCGTTCGACTAATCATCTATGTGTTATTTAAATGATAATACAAATTGCCCTTGGGTTAAAGGGCAGATCGTTCACCCTCGAGTGGAATTTCCAAAAAAATTATTTTAATTGTTGAGTTTTAGGAGAATTACGGAGGAACGAGCTCTGGGAAGGTAGCGTAAAATTGGGAATTTCGAAATGAAAAGGATCGATATCGGTCGATCGGCTGGGTGTTTCATAATTCGGCCATAATATCCCCCCATTAAGTGCGCGCGCATTGCACGGGACGCGCAGCTGGGTCGAAATCCGTGTTTTGGTGGGTCATTTTTTAGGGCGATCCGCCAGTGACGGCACGCGGTCGGGTGCGTGGGGGATTTGGTGTCGACGCGGTTTTATGGGGCGGCGCGTGGTTGATAAGTGGGACATACGCTCTTGCATCTCGGTATTTCGTAGTGAACTCGCAGTCAGATCGGATCACCCGCAGCACATCGGGGACGTTGTGCTTAACACCGGTTTGTGGAAACGTTTTCTTCGTGGCACGCGCAAACAAGAGCTTCCTGGTTCGATTGGACGCCTCGTTACCAGTAAGTCGTGATTGTTTACAACTTCGCGTCCGGTGGTGATTCTACGGTTCGAAGGGATCGAAAGGGTTCACACTGTCGCGTTGATCGGTTCTCGATCAAACAATTCTACAGAATCGAGATAATATCGGTTTTGGTCACGGTTCTATTTCGCAATAATAGAATAAATAAACCAATTCGAAATCGTTTCCTATTCGATAGGACTAGAAACTCGGAGCGGTTTGTTCGCGCTCGTTTCTCAGAACCAGTAATTGACATTTAAAGACGCGTTTGTTTTCGTCACCGTTGAATTACCGTGGCTCTTAATTACAGAGGGTCGAAAGGAAATGTGTTCTACGCGTCGACATCGTCCCTTCGGGCGATATAAAGAAGGAAAAAAATGACACTAGGGTGGAGGCGTTTAACCATTTGTATGACGTGCCGGCGCGATGTGTTAAATGGCATTATGGTTGCGAGTAACGTGTCACGTTGCTGATTCCGCTCGCTTATCATTCTCGTGGCCTCGCAATTGTACATCGTTTGGCGTCCATAAGAAACCGGAAAACGGGCCACGTTGCAGGCACGTACGTTCGCGAATACTGTGCAATTTTCAGCGGAAAAACATGCCGACGAGTGAAAACTGAAACAGAGAGATGCTACACTCGATTAACTCGTATCTCGAAAAGCATGCAACGTGCAAAATGTTCATCTCGCGATTTAGTTTCTACGAAAACCACTCTACTTGTCCGGTAGTTGTCCGAAATTTGTCTCGATATAGATCGTCGATGATTTCGTTTGCAAGCCTAGGTTGTTGTCGGAGATTTTATATATACGAATATATTTACGCTTTCTCGGTACGCTTTCTTAATTACCTGCTGTGCTTACTAGACTGGAAACGAATCATCCTAATGATCCGCGATGCTGAAAGAAATGACGATTCAAACTGTGGGAAAAATAGATGCCATTTGTAATTTCACTAGACACGCTTTTGCTCGAGAAATCGCTGAAACGCACGCGAGGCGATTTCATTCGGACGTTTTCCAGCTCTCGACGGATCTTCCTTCGACGCTCGGTAGTTTATTCAAATTTCGAACGCTCGACTCGTTCAAGTGGAGATGAAATTGAAAATTTTCGGGTTAAAGAGACCGAGTGGCTGGCAAAGTAATTCCACGGCAATTAATTACGCCACGTAATTAACCTTTACGTGACTAGCGAAAAGTAAAACCGACGCGGCGGTGTGCTCCCGAGCGAATTCCCCTCCTCTTTGAAGACGAACCCTCCTCATGGGGAGATCGTCGCCTGAAAAGACTCTGTATTTCCTCGAGCCTATTCATTCGCTCTCTTTAAAATTTCACGCGAACGATAGCCATGTGTTCCTCTATACAGCCTTCGAACAAAGAAAATATTCGTCACAGGGTCGAGAAAAATTAACAGGCGCGCAACCCAGTCTTTTACCCAATGCTCATTATTTACAAAAATAATTCCAGTTATTATTATCACGATAATAGCATCAATTATCGATATATCGTAGTTCCGGTTAAATGCTGTCGTTCATCGAGCAGTTCTATGACACGTTCTCAAAGTTAGTTTTCGCGCGAGCTTGTTCGACGATCGGCCTTTTCGTTATTCTTTTCCTCGAGCGTTAATGTCAACGCGGAGACGCAGACAAGGCGATCGTGATTCATCTCGTGGATTCGCTCTCCGTTTCGCCGTGGATTGCTTTAATTGCGCTTGCACTCGAGAATTGTACAACGAAGGACACACCGCCGAGATTGTTCGGAAGAATTTAGATTAACGATGGGAAACTGGACTGTCTCGCGACTCGTAACACCGATCATCTTGTGAGTAGAATCGACCTCTAGGTTCCGACTACAAACATTTTTGGAGCAATAAATAAACGGGACACCGTTGCAAACTGAAATTTTTTAAACAGTACGACGCGGAATATGCTTTGCAATTCTTTCTCGGTTCGTGAAAACACACACAATTACGCATACTAGATAAACACGACCGTTTATTTGCATTTTGGTGGACGTGACTTGATATTAGAACCAATTTATTTTAAGAATTCAAATTCAAATGTATGAAATACGAATATGTTGGTTTAATATTTTCGTTCAATGGGAATAAGAAGGAAGGAGTTACGAGTTGTATCGGGTCAGACGTGGTAGTCGGCCATCTTTTGAGGCCCGAGTGCAAGCAAAAATTATTCGATATCAGTCTCCGTCTACTTACGTTGTCACATTCCCCTTAACCCTGGGCCCGAGCTTTCCAACTCCGCCTTCCACTGAATATCGCTGCTGCTTAGGCACTTATGTTTCGTCGTCGCGGCAGAAATTGCCAGTTCGGTTCGATCGCGGCAAGTTTATCGCCGACCTTGCAGTTTTTCTTACACAAGCTACGATTATCATTGCCTGGTTACTTCACCGCCTCGGCCAAAACTGCGCTGACGCTTCAGTCTTTTGCAAAAGCGCTCGCATTCTTGCTCTTCGACAAATCCATTTCCGTGATTACAAACCAACGTGAAAGTCCCACGATCGTTCGCATTCAAATTAAAATTAACATTAATTTGCCACTCTGGCCAATTGCATACGTGAAATTTCACGCGTATTGGATGCAAGATGGGGGAGAATTGGGTCCAGGAAGTCGAGCTGATTGGCGACGTTTTCGACGAATCGAACGTCTCCGGTCGAAAGTAGTTTCGCAGTTGTCCCCTCGGATGACGTAGGATCGCGATAGACGAAACGTGAGTTGCTACAAGAACAGAACGACGGTTTCAATACGTACGTGCTTGAGAAACGAGAGACAGGAAGGTCCACTGTGCGGTTGATAATGACCTGAAACGTGCCATTGACCTCCTTTACGGAGAACCTGTTCCAGCACGAAACTTCACTTCTTTCCTTCCTCGTTTCCCCTTCTCTCTTTCTCCGAAGCTCTTACCTCGTAACTCAGCACCTTTCTCTGTGGTTACTCTCCTTCGAATACAGCATGTACCGTTTCGATGGACAGCTTCGCCGGGACAACGACGCCTCTCCGATTCCCCGTACGTCGAGTTCCATTCGAAACTGGGACACCCGATAGTGTCCTTTGATCGTTCGCGATACCGAAAAATTTGCTCACCCAAGTCCCAACGAGATGCGACTTTTGGGTCAGCCGGTTTAACGCGTAGCTCATCTATTCTTTAAAATCTTTTCAAACGATTCGTTTCTCTTGACAATTTACTTCTGTTTTTCCATTCCGTTATTTTCCTTGTTCCAGCCTTTTGTCTTCCGTCTCTTAATCGAGTTAGAATATCAATCCGAGTTCAGACTTAAATGGGTGAAACTTGTTTACGAACACGTGTCGCAGGCATACTTATTCCTTCTTTTCTAGTCGTTATTTTGCGATTTATATTACATTGGTTTCATCATTCAGGATCATTATCGTATTAAACTTTAAGCGTAAATCGTTCAAACATCGAACTTAAACATTAATTCTTTGTTTTCAAGGGTGTAATTAATCCATTATTACCTCCGTCTTCGTGCAATGTAATTGTATACTCGAATGGGTATCCCGTATATGTCTAGGGTCATAGAAGACCCAACGAAATGAATATTCGCGAAATTGCAGGGAAATGAGACATTTAGATAGACGAGGAGACGCTACATGCCCGTAAAGAGAATCCATTAAGAACGGAACATGGTCGTATCTTTCGACTTTGCGTTGTCTCGATATCCAGTCGCGTACGAAGTCTCGCCACAGCCGTGAAAGGCTCCCGTAACTACTGTAACTGGTTACGTTTCGACGTCTTGATAATCGGTTCCCGGTGACCTAGTAACAAATACTTTCAGAAATGCAAAATCGCACCGCGGGTCGCGTTCCACTTCGACGCGTGAAAGTTCGTGCTTTATTGTTCGCGAGATTAATCCCCGGCACATATTTCCCCCCGTGTCATTCGCTGGCGCCTGCTGAGACGCGACCAATACCAATAAATACAGACCCGTGTACAAGCTGCACCCATAAAAAGTTCGACTCCGATGCATCCGTTATCTTAAATAACTTTAATCGATGGAAACTTCATAACTCTTCCGTTTATAGTACGTATAGTGTATGGACTCTTAACTTCGCATTCTTGCATGAGAAATCGCCTGAAAGAGAAAATCGAATCGTGCTACTCTTCGCCGTTGCTAAGGCATGCCGCCGCTCGTAACGAGAAGTAAATGGTCGTCGTTATCGCGAAAAAGTACGAAGCGAGTTACTTATCGGAGAAAACGATAAAATGTAATTCTTTACGTTTGCGAACCAAGGTGTACTAGTTTTCCCAAGCTAAACGAAATGATGGAATCATTTGCCCATTTGTTTAAAGGCGAAACGTTTGTTCCAGAATTGTTAAAATGGCCCCGAACTTATTCGGTACGTCAGCGACGTTGTACTTGGAGGCTTCGCAGCAGAATGTTCGCCAGGATGGACAGTCGCCGGAGAAGTTAAAGTTGCAGAAACATGTCGTCCAACCAACATCGGACGTTACACCAACGTATAAATGGAATATCGTCTGGAGGAACGTGATTGCTTTCATTTACCTTCACTTTGGAGCACTCTATGGACTCTACCTTATGTTCAACGGAACAAAGCTCTACACGATAGTGTGGTGTAAGTGAATGCTTTGCAATATCCATTTTTCTTTTGGCCGTTCAACCGAGAATCCAGAAAAAAAAAATAATACCTCGTTATCGATCGACGCATTCATTTACAATTCGTCGTCACTTTCCCCTAAACAGTTGCGACAAACTCGTTTTCTTACCGGAGATTAATCACTTTCATCGTTCTGTCTCCTTTGCATCGAATCACGATGACGCCTGTTTTAGCTATTGTTTTAATACACAAATAAATTAAAAATCATCGGCGGAATCTTCCAGCACGATTCTCTGCTAATTGTTCAGGCTTTAACGATCAACGCAAACCGGTGTTCCATAATCTATCATCGTTATCGCTATAAATGTTGCATTTCATACGATCTTTCGTAGAATTTATGACTGTTAGGTTTAATATAACGAAGCAATAACAGTTTGCACTTGAATCGCGTTGTTTATCGGGATTTCGAAAGTGATGATCTTGCTCATTAGATCCCACGATAAAACGCAACGCGCGGAGCTGTTATGCCCGTTCGATAGGATTACAGTTATTAACGAGACAAGCATAACTGGGTCGTATGGCGAGTGGAAAAAGTCGAAATCGATCGTAGAAACCGTCGTGTGTCTCGGGGAACGGTACGATCTTCGCGATCATCGTCTATGTCAGACTTTCGAGAACTCGCGTCCTGGTTGCATCGACGATAAACGTTCCGATGGAATTTGAATACGACGAATCCTGCTTTCAAAAGTAACACGATACAAAATTCTTCTCATTGTAAAATTTTATAACAGAATTTCTGGGAGAGTCTCGAGTTTTCCTTTCAAATTAACGCGCGTTATTTTTACAATTTTCAGCGTTATTTATGGGAATAACGGCTGGACTGGGCATTACAGCCGGCGCTCATAGATTATGGGCCCACAGATCCTACAAAGCAAAATGGCCGCTACGATTCTTCCTGATGATCCTGCAAACCATTTCTTTCCAAGTGAGTTCACCGTTTCCTTCGTTTCTTCGAAACGATCGAGCTTTAAATACCATTCCCACGAAAACTAATGTCTTCGATTTATCTCAGAATCACCTCTACGAGTGGGTCAGAGACCACCGAGTGCATCACAAGTTTACAGACACGGACGCGGATCCTCACAACGCCAAAAGAGGATTCTTCTTCTCGCATATGGGCTGGCTGTTGGTACGAAAACACCCCGATGTAAAAAAGAAGGGTGCCACCATCGACATGAGCGATCTGGAACGGGATCCCATTGTTGTCTGGCAAAAACGGTACGAAACGTTCTTCGAAGTTTCGAATATTTCTTTCGACCAAGTACAACGTCCCTCATTATCCATAATAAAAGCTGTTCTTTCTTTTGAATCTGTTTCCTCCGGTTTCTTTACAGATTGTACATCATCCTAATGCCCCTTTGCTGCTTCATAATCCCCATGTGGATTCCTTGCCACTTTTGGGGCGAGAAACCATTGAATTCCTGGTACAGCGCCTTGTTTAGGTACACGTTGTCTTTGAACCTCACGTGGCTAGTGAACTCGGCCGCCCACATTTGGGGAATGAAACCCTACGACAGGTAAATAGCATATTTTAATAACTCTCGTTTCCATTTAAATGGTAAATGGATAGAATTCGATTTTCTTGTGAATGTTCCAGCTCGATCGGGCCCACAGAAAATATCAGCGTCGCGATATGCGCGTTCGGCGAGGGTTGGCACAATTACCACCATGTGTTCCCGTGGGACTACAAAGCTGCCGAATTAGGTAACTATAGGACCAACATGACCACGGCGTTCATCGACTTCTGGGCACGATTGGGCCAGGCGTACGATATGAAAACTATCCCCCTCAACGTAGTGAAGAAACGTGCGATCAGAACCGGCGACGGATCCAAGTACGTACTCGATCGTTCTAATAGTCTGCAAGAAAAATTTGGTCAAATTTAAATACGACAAATCATGATACAAACCAGCTTGAACGCTTCTGCTAACTAACCCTTTCTTAGTTAAGTCAGCGTTGAAAATCTTGAGGAAATAAATGTGGATTAAAATCGATAAGTTGGGTATACATAGAGCGTTTGGTTGCAGGTACCATAACGATGAAACTCCCAAGCATAGTCACGAGGGTGCGAAATGGGGATGGGGCGACGTGGACATGGAGCCCGACGAAATCCAGTCGGTGGAAGTCATCAACAAGAGCGACTAAGTAATCGTTCCTTGGCCATTCTCGCGAGAATGTTCGGTTGATTTCACGAAACAAATCGCGCGTTGAATAGAAAAATCTGCAATCAATAGTTTACAACGTCAATTAATACTTATTACATATATATATATATATATACACACACATATATATACACACTATCAACGATCTGTCGTTGTCGTTCCTCCGCGAATGGTCGGCCATTCGAGGAATCGTGCGGTTCGTGATATATTCGATAATTAACCATTATCAAACCAGTTACTACAAGGATATCGTTAGAATATTTTAAACGATCGACTTGGCTTCGACGTGAAATCGATCTTCGGAAACGTCTACGCGTCGAGCGGGAGATGAAACGAAAGAACGGAGCGAAGCTCTCGACGCTCAAATGTCATTCGATGAATCAAAAATTAAATTCGTGGCCTTTCGAGTTGTCGTTCGGAACGTGGGCGGGCGTTTTATTTTTCGAATTCTCGCGTGTACAGTAGTTTAGACGGTGAACGCGGGACGATTTATTCCGTTTTACGCGAGTTACGGTATCCTTCGAGACCATCGTAACGACGTAGAGTTATAGTAACCAAAGCACGTAAATTGTATATCGATTGATCGACTAGATTTCGGGTTATGAAGAAAAGCACTTCGCGCGTGGAATGGTTTGGCGTCGTGAATCTCTACTGGGATTGAAACTTTGCTTTCATATATTTCTCAGAGAATAAGATCACAGATCTGTCAAGAAATTGGTTTCTCTTTTTTTACTGGTGGAATCGAAGACCCACCGATATTTATTAAAAATTAGGATAGAGCAAGAATAAACTTTGGCCTGGCCGGTTAAAGTAATAGCAATAATATTTATTTGTAGCTGATTAGAGGAAACCTTTGACACAGGTAAAATAAAAATATAAAATTCATTAAAAAATTGATTTCCTTTTCTCCGTTAATAGAATCGAATACCCAGCGATGTTTGTTAAAAGTTATTACGACCAATTTCGTTATCTGAATCGGTGACGAAGGGAAGGAACGTTCGCGCGAATCGAGTATCGAGTTAAATTCAGTGTGATCGATCGTACGAGGAAAAGACTCGAGCTCGATGTTCGTTCGTTCGCGGGTGATGACACTGTTGACAGTTCGCCGTGAGGTCGCGGCCAGGACAGAGTCAATTAAACGTAGAAGTATAGGGAACCGATCCGCCGAGTTACGCAGACGACAATCGTTCCTCGAAGTAACAACAACAAAGTGCGACAATCTAACATCGATTACTTGCCTTAAACCACCCCGATCGTCCTGTCGCGCGAATCCATGTACGTATCGCTTAAACACTTTTAGAAGCCTAGCTATTTAGACTTGAAACGCGCTCGTCGATACCGATTATTGCGTTGCGCGCTACTCGAAGAATATTATTTATTTAACGACGGAAATGCCGAAATCTTTTGCTTGTTCAACGAACCAACAGGCCACTAAATTATAAATAACAGTAAAATACGGGGTATATGAAAACGCACAAACCTTTCGTTCTGTGAAAAGTCCATTTGAAGTGATGATTTACGCGTTCATAGAAATTCGACACCTCCGACGCGTGTTATTTAATCGCGAATTCAGAAACCACCCTGGTGAACACTCTTCGTAAACATTCGTCTGTCCGACTGTCGTAAAAAAAAGAAATGTGGGTACAAACACATGCAACGGACAGTTCGATCGACGATCTTTACACGTTCGATAAATTGCAACTTCTAAATGGATTTACACGCTCCTTGAAAACTGTTTCCTCCTATAATCTCAGTCACGATCATTTACATCGATAAACTAGACGTAAACACTAGTGGTCCAAATTATGATTGGAATATTAGTTTCACGTTTTCGATGATATAATTATTTTTACACGATTAAAATGTTGTTATATTTATGTGTGTTTCCACAATTTTTACTAGTCCAAGGAACGTTCGTTTGGAATAATTTTCGAGACAATGTACGTACAAAAGATTACATACTTTTATAGAAGATACAATGACTATGTTCTCTCTTGCTCTCTTAAATGTTACTTTTCGCTCTTACGCCAGTTATCGTATCTCTATCTTTTAATACGTATATTATCTTGATCATTGCTCGGAGATCTTCGACGATCGAAAGCTTCGAGACGATTAAAGAATCTTCCCACCGTTTGCTTTTATTAGACAAAAGTCTCGCACAATCTTTTTCCATGGGAAACGAGGCCCATTTTTATGGAATGAAATTTTATAAAAGTAGGTGTGATTGAAACGTTCCGCGTGTTATATCGCACAGGAGATAGTTTTCAATGTTTTACCACCAAAGAAACACGATTAGAAAATTTGCAACATCTGGATCTTACAGGTGAATGTTTATAAATCCAGGGTATGGGTACAGAAATATTGTTCGATTGTATAGTTCATATATAAAAAGGAAAATCGACAAAAAAAGAAAAAATATACGAAAGCGTAGCTTGTAGAGGTAATATCGTACGCGATTAGCCGAGAACGAAGAAACATCATCGTTTTCGTTGCGTGCGTACGTTTTACTATGGACAATATCGACATTTTCAGTGTATTTATAAATAAATTATTGTTATCTGTAGAAACACTCGTGTCTTTGATTTAATTTCCTTTGTATATATCGATTCTGCCGTCTTCTTTCTTTTCAAAAATAAGGAACGAGGAATGAAATTTCGAACATTTCGCGATCTTAAATGAAAATTAATATGGTACACTCACCGATAAGAGATACCAACAAAACGTCGTTATCGTCTGTATGCTCGAAGTTATCAATGTTTTTATAAACACGAGAAAGTCAGTCGTTCCGATCCCGTGTCTTCTATCAATCGTAATTACTTTCATTTGACATTGATGTTCCTTGTACGCTAACAATTAATTAAAAAGAATGATTAGTCGTGATGTATCGGTCGCGTTATCTCTTTCAGGGTCAGACAAATGCTTGCCCCTAAGCGATACCGAATTAATGGATCACTGTCATACGGTTTCGCCAATTTGTTGCGTACAATTTGCTCCGTCATTATTTACCACGCGAAATAATTCGTATTCGATGGTAAACAGCGAATTTGGATATCTGAATTTAAACCTGGACCCTATTGTTATTTTTCACAGAGTCACTGACCAACTTTACAGAATTTCGCAAACGATCATTGCACATTCGTCGTTTCGTGAGTCCTAACTTCGGAAATTTGTTCACGGCTCGTCCGGTTTCTGCACACACAGGGCGTAGATTTACGTAATCCGTTCTTCCTGGTATTTGCGTTTGGGTCAGTTTGTACGACGATCTGTTAGGCGAGGTGATCAGTTTGCGTTTCGCAGATCCATTACTTTCGTCTAAAACGGGACACAGTAAATGGCGGAAAGGTCTCTGTCGAAAGATTTGTTAGAAAATTTGAGAGACTGTATCGCGCCAAAACAGATTTCCAACTGGTAGAATAACTCATTACTTTATTTATTATAAGAGAAAATATCGATAAGGAGTGAATTGTAGGGATACTATAGTCGGAATAATAGCAATCTGCTCGAGGGACCATGTGCCCGCAAACAGTGAACACTTTCGATAACGCGGGAACCGAGTCGCCAGTTTTGCTAATAAAATGACGCATTAACGATTGCAAAATTGCGCACCAGTAATTTGGCCCAATTAAACGAGAATTTCCACTCGGCTCGTCTCCCCGTTGCATCCAATTAAGAACAAGTCTTAGCTGCCGTGCAACCGACCGTACTTTTTGCAGTTCCCAGTCAATGATCGAAACTAAGAAGAACCTGTCCACCTCGCAGTTATCCAGTCTCGTTCGCGGACAAACGAAAGCATCGTCGTGGTAATTTTCGAAATATACAAAGGCAATCGAAGGTAACTAGACGGTTCAAACACGATTATTAATCACGTTACATTAATTATCTGTTAAATTATTAATACGTTGCCGGAGATATTATTGTAATCCACATTCCAACATTAGAATCGAAAATATCAAGATCGCAATAAATACTTTAGATTCTAAATATCAGAGGATTTTTGGTGGAAAACTGGGGTACAACGAGACCATTTTAGCTCGATCTATATTAGAAATAAGAAACGAAAGGTAACGACCGTGACACGCCTGAATTCTTAATCGACGTCCCTGAGTGGTGAAACTCCGGATTCGAAGGTTGAAACGAGAAAGAATTCGATACTGCTATTGACAGTTGACATTTTGCAAAGCTACCGGATCGATCATTCGGTGATCAACCGTGCGGTATTGCGTGGAAAGCGTGTTTTCGTTCTAGCAAAGTCAGTCGTTGAAACTTTCGCTAAATCACGCACGCGGTGGTAGCAGCCTCGATCTTGGATTTCTCAGCGATGATCTCTGCTTATCCCGTAGACGAGGTTCGATAAACGATCTTGATAGTTCCGACGAGCTGATATAGTCGATCATCGGTGGGATTAGAGTGGCGATAGCGCGTTATAAAACGCGGAAAGGATCCTCGATCGACCGAATCGGTATCGACGCGTTTGACGAAAAGTGGTTTTGTTTGGAAGTCGGCGGTTCGTTTGATCCAATCGCATCTGGCCCGACTATTATTCAATTTCTCGGGTCAACTCGGTACAGGAGACGTCACGCAAGAAAGAGGTAATTCAATAACCGTAGTGAACTCATTCAGTGTTGATAGCTCGTCGCGTCGGTGGTGTATGGATCCACGATCTTCCACGGATCTTTTAGGCTCGCATCGCGCGATAAAATAATCTGTACGTTTCATTTGCTACCTCGTGTTAAAGAGTCTTAGAGAAAATTCAATTTAGAAATACGAAAGTAGATGATTCAACCTATAAAATGACTCCAGGAAAATTGTTGCGTGACTTCTTTTCGCAAAGTTATAGCAGTTGAAAGATCGACAATGTTTTGAGGGTTGTTCGATAACTATAAATTTAAAAATTTGTAATTAAATCAAGGCGTTGATCACGCATGTGCGGGAAGAGAAATTTATTACACGAAACTGTGTCCCCTCTTCGGTTCGTCTCCCGTCCCGTTTGAAATTCCCGCCCAAAATTCTCCTGCATTCCCGGTGAAAGTACAAGAACGAATGATTCCTAAAAAATAGTTGCACGACACGGTCTGTCAATACCGCGAATAAAATAATTCGAACGAGCACCGCGTGTTTCAGCTCGAATTTGGTTTTTCGTAAGTGGCACATGCGCACTAGATGGAGGCAAAAGCGGCCAAACGAGGTTTAGGTGGCGTTGGGTATAGCGGCGCCGTGTCCTCGACGTCGGGAGCGCAACTATACCGTGGCGTCGGACTACTTTGCTTCACCTGCAGCATCTGCTTTATTCTCAGCCTGATCTGCACGTGTCTGGCTACGTTGCTGGTCATCCTCGATCAGAAAGTCGAAGCCGCCAGCTATCAATACTGTGAGTGGCCTTTTCTATGCACTGTCACCGCTCGCTGATAACAGTTGATCCACGTGAGCGTGATAAAAAACGGCGGGAAATTTGAAATCGTTTACCAAGGACTCGCTAATTACGCCGCATTGCAATAGCTTTACACTTGTTACCGTGATGCTTCTGACTATATAATTTGCATAGTTTCACATGATACGACAATCAAATTTCGTATTTGTACAATTTATAAAATTTCGAATTGGACAATGTAGAATATTTAATTGTAACGAGCGAGATAGTACTGTTTTTCATCGCGTGTATTGAACTCGGTGTAATCAGCTCGCTGCAAAGGGATTTAATAATATTGCCACTTTAATTCCAGACTTTGCGCTTGTTCTCTTATCACCGTGACTCCGATACCTTTATCAAAATCCAGAACAAACCGAGCTGGCAAGTACGTGCAACCATACGTGTCTGATCTGTTCCAGCTCTCGCCACGATGAACCAGCGATCGAACCCCGATTCGTCCTTTCGATTACCGAAGGACGTGACTCCTCTGCACTACGATGTCTACTTGCACCCAGACCTCGACAAGGGCACCTTCCAGGGTAAAGTTACGATCCTGATCGACCTGCTCAACAGGAGGAATAGCATAGTGGTTCACCAGAAGGATCTGAACATCACCTCCGCCACCTTGAAGACCTACGATCGCGAGGAGAACTACGAGATCAAGGTTCTCGAGATCGCGCAAATATCGCAACACGAAATGGTCACGGTCACGGCGGAAAATGAACTCCACTCGGGACTGTATCACTTGACCTTTGAGTTCAGCGGCGCGTTGCAACCCGACAAGATCGTAGGCCTGTACTCCAGCAGGTACAAGGACGAGGCGAACAATACCAGGTGAATTTCGGTACCGGTACCCAAACGAATAATATCGCAACATTTGGATCGATCGTTGCAATTTTCGGGGGATTTTTATCGGCAGATACATCGCCACGTCAAAGTTCGAGCCGACCTACGCCAGAAGAGCATTCCCGTGTTTCGACGAGCCATCGTTCAAGGCAGAATACACGGTGAAGCTCGTTCATCCTACCGGCGACTGTTACAGTGCTCTGTCCAACATGAACGTCGAGGTAAACATCGAAAAGAGCAGAGAACAGGTTTGAAATCTGCGGTTCACGGGATCATTTGCATTTCATAGAGCACCCAGGTGAATCATCCGTCACGCGGACTGACCACAGTGACGTTCGCAAAGAGCGTGCCAATGTCCACGTATTTAACTTGCTTCATAGTCAGCGATTTCGTCGCCAAGACCAAAATGGCGAAGGGCCTGAACGGTCGTCAGTTCCCGGTGAGCGTGTACACCACCAGGGCCCAGAAAGAGAAGGGTTCCTTCGCCCTCGACGTAGGCGTAAAGATCATCGAATACTACATCGGCCTTTTCGATGTCGATTACCCGTTGCCGAAACTTGGTAAGCGTACGAACAATATCGAAGACGTTGGATACTTAAAATTCGATTCGTAGATATGGCGGCCATTCCCGACTTTGTGTCCGGCGCTATGGAGAATTGGGGACTCGTCACATACAGAGAAGCGAGGCTGTTGTACAACGAGGGTACGAGTAGCACTGCAAACACCTACGACATCGTCACCGTGATCAGCCACGAGTTCGGGCACATGTGGTTTGGAAATTTGGGTGAGAACGTTTATCCTCGTCTGCTATCCGTGTGGTAGCTGTAAAATCTTGTGTTTATTTAACGCGAAACGATCGTATCCAGAATGCAAGTCCCGTTTACAAATATAGCTGCAATTGTGCTCGCGTCTATCGACGTTCCTTTGTTTATTGGCATGCCGCAGATTCTATTTTCGAACGATCGAAATTTATTTATTGTTTAAATTCCCTTCCGTCTTTCAGTCACTATGTCCTGGTGGAACGATCTATGGCTGAACGAGGGCTTCGCTTCCTTCATGCAGTACAAAAGCGCCGATGGAATTTTCTCGGACTGGGGAATGGTCGGTTATAGAATGATTAATTTTTACGGTGTATCAGAAAATACGTCTTCACGGTTTCAGATGGACTTCTTCCTGATCGAACAAATGCACAGTGTGTTCGTGACGGACGCGAAACTGAGCACCCACCCGATCGTGCAGACCGTCAACAACCCCGACGAAATAACCGCGATCTTCGACGAGATATCCTACAAAAAGGTTCACCGTCGCCATCGATAATTGTCTATCGACTCGTGTCCACAACTTGGTTTCATTTTCGATTAATTGTTAGGGATCCTCGTTGCTTCGAATGATGGAGAACTTCATCGGGCCCGACTCCTTCTACGCCGGTATCCACACTTACTTGAACAAATTCATGCTAGCCAACGCTGAGACGGCAGACTTTTTCAAGATCTTGCAAGACGTTTCCCCGGCGAACGTGAACGTGACGGCGACCATGGACACGTGGACAAGACAGAAAGGTTTCCCCGTGGTGAACGTGAGAAAGTCCGGCAATAAATACGTGTTGACGCAAAAACGATTCTTGACCAATCCTGACGCCCAATTCGATGTCTCTGACTCCGAATACGGGTAAGTAGCCTAACGCGTCTAGACTTAAACTATATCAAAATATACGGAGATATTCAATTATATGTTTCGTTTCGAAGCTACAAGTGGACCATTCCTGTCACTTACATCACGAGCAGAACGTCCGAGCCTACGCTTTTGTGGTTCCAGAAGGATGCAGAGAACTGTACTTGTTTAATTGCTTGTGGTTTACAAATAAACTTTGTGTTTAACGCGTTGCTATAACTGTTGTTTCACCTTCGTAGTGGAGATCGAGTTTAACGAGACGATCGACTGGATCAAGTTCAACGCGAACGAAGTTGGATATTATCGGGTCAATTACGAACCGACCGAGTGGGAGATCCTTAACAATTTGCTTCGAGATCATCACAAGGTGAATTATACGTTGCTTCGCGATTTACTTACGCTCGATTCGTCTCGTTTTCCCCGTTCGATCCGCAGAAATTGTCGGTGTCGGACAGAGCGCATCTTTTGGAGGACGCGTTTAGTTTGGCAGCTGCTGGGGAACTCGATTACGGAGTCGCGATGAACATGACCGCGTACCTTCCCAAGGAACGCCATGTTGTCCCGTGGATGGTCGCCGCGTCGAAATTGACAGCCATCGATACACTGTTATCGTCCAACAGCTCGTCGTCCAAGTTTAAGGTAAAGTTACCTCGTATTATGTATATTAAAATTTTTGCAACGTATTCGAATTTTTATTCGTGTCTTATTCACACTGGATAATGCACCGAGTCGCCCAAGATGCTTAAATATTATTAAGAATAATAATATTATAATAATAATAAACTATCAATATCATCTAGCAATACGTGAGAAATTTGTTGGACGATATTTACAATCACGTAACGTGGACCGTTGGAGACTCCAACGATCGCATCACTCTGTACGTAAAAAATGATCTTCGAGTTAAATTTTTCCTGCAGAGACTTCATCTTGGATCGTTTTCTCTTGTGCAGGAGACTTCGAACGTCTGTTCTTGAATTAGCCTGCTCCGTGGGACACCAGGCGTGCCTGTTTCACGCTGGAACTCTGTTCACCAGTTGGATCCAAGATGCAACGGATGTTCGTCCACATCCTGACATTCGACAGCTTGTTTATTATTACGGTGAATTATTTACGCATTAATTTTATCGTATTTCCGCGGTTGAGTCTTCCGATACTTTATATATACCCACTCCTACTGGTCAAATGATTTTAAGTTTAGTGTTAATGATCCTCGTTGCAGGGATGCACGATGTCGGCGACGAGGAAGCGTGGAACAAGATGTTCAAACGGTTCGTCGCTGAAACCGACTCGACGGAGAAGCTGAAATTAATGCGCGGATTGGCCGGAATACGATCCGCCTGGATTCTGAACATGTAACTTTTATTCAATATTCGAAACTAAATTTAAGGGTCTAAATTGTCGATCAACCATTGTACAAAGTCACGATCCACTATGGCCTCTTTTAAACATTCGTTCTTCGTACAGATTCATAACAACAGCCAAGGACGAGAATTACGTTCGCTCTCAGGACTTCTTCGGTTGCCTGTCGGCCATTTCCGGGAATCCCGTGGGAACTCCGCTCGTTTGGGACTGGGTTCGTTCCAATTGGGAGTTCCTCGTGAACAGATACACCTTGAACGATCGTAACCTCGGTTCTTTGATACCGGAAATCACCAAGACCTTCGCCACGGAGACGAAACTGAACGAGATCCATGCGTTCTTCGCCAAGTATCCAGACGCCGGCGCTGGTGAGATGAATCGCGCGAAAGCGTTGGAAACGGTGTCGAACAATATCAAATGGCTGGCGAAAAATAGCGGAAAGCTGGAAAGCTGGCTGAACGAACACGTGGGAACCAATTAAGCGGCTTACATATATGTGCTTGTGTGTTTGTGAGCTTGTGCGCGTGCGTTGACGATCCACGCCAAAGAAAGATGCAATAAGCATCGACATTGACAAATTTAAGGGGGTATTCTACTTTTAGGTCCTAGATCATTTATTGGCAAGGTAAAAATATTAATAATTGGCCATTCTGCATTTAATTGGGACGAGTTTCTATTAAAAAGTCAAAGGTTCACAGTAGAATACCTCCCCAACGAAATAGTGATTCTAAAAAGAAAACATTGATCGTGCAACGTTTGATACAAACCAAGAGAGCATGTGGTGTCCGTGTTGCAAAAATTTCCCAAATCATAGCTGGACTGTGTCCCCGAAATTTCCAATTTCCACAAAGTTTTAGACCAAACGCATTTTGTAGTTCTCCAGTTTTTATTTCAAACCAACACGGACCGATAAGAGTAAGCTAACCGCAGGGTACACCGGAACGCATTTAACTCGTTAACCGCGAGATTAATTTTTTACCTCGTCTACTTAACAATAATAACGCGTTTGCAATACTTACGTGCCTACAACGACTGCATTTCTACGAAACGTTTCTTTTTATACGGGTCGCTCGTGGCCCCCTGGCGCAGGGAGCTCTGTAATTTCTTCGAAAAATAAAGTGTCATTAAGCGCGCGAAGGGTTTCTAACTCGTGCTCGCGAACAAATGCAACGGAAATATCCTAACATCCTCTAACTTCGATCAGAGAATGATCAACCGGATAAATTGAGTTACTGTAATTGTTCTCTCCCTCGTGGGCAATTGGATCGACTTCTCTAGATTAGACGATCCTGCCTTGCTGAGAGAGAATCGAAGATCCGTTGGGCCTCTAATTTGTCTCGGTCATCGTGTCCTCGTTTTTATAGGTTCGTGGGATGCACCGAATCGCCTTACTTTTAAAGAATTGAAAGATCCGACGATTATAAAATTTTAGATAATCCCAGTAACATTAGGAACGGTTTAAAACGACAAGTATATTTTCATGTTTGACACTATTATTTGAAGAAATATCGATCGACTCGAAGTATACGGACCGTGATATGCCAAGTATAATAGCCTTTTATTTATTTTCGCGTATCATCGATTGCCCCGCCACCCAAGAGGTCTCGTAATCTGTCAATTGATTCGTCATTGACGAAACGAGCCTCGTAAATTCATTCCCTGAACAAACTGAGACCGAAATTAAGCTCTCCATCGATGGTTAAAATGACAGATTAGAGAAGAATCGAATAACTATTATAGTGATAAATATAAGTTCAGGTAAGAGCCAGAGTTAAGACTCTATTTCTTTCTACTTTTATTTTATTTTTATCCGTCGCTGGGCGCACCGTGTGTCAAAATCACGCGAAGCATTGTTAGAAATTCTAATCGCATCGAAGATCGCGCGAGAAGTTCTCAACTCGGATTTACGTAATATGGCAATTAAATGGCGGAAACGGTTCCTCGCGTTTCCTAGTTGGATGTCTTCCAAAAGTTGGCCAAAGCGCGCCGCGAGGACGATGAAACAGCAATTGGTGAACTTCCTCCTTAACGGGACCACCATACCGGCGATTTCTAATCTCGAATTAAACTCGCGTTTGTTAAAGTTCAGAACTTGCACGCTCTTTTGAACAGATTTGTTTCTTTTTCATAAAATAGAGAGGAAAGGAAATTTTATCATGGGTGAAAATGACCCTGGTCGTCGTGTTCGCCCCAAATTATCCATCTTTAGAGGGTTAATGGACCATCGCGAAGCAACAGTTGCCCCCTCCGCTACGTAAGCGAGACGATGACCAGCTCGACCTTTTAGGAAAATGAAACTTTGAAAAGCCCGAGCTGCTTGTCCTCTTGTCCATTAACACTTATCGTTCCACGAGCATTGCGCAACTAGCTCGTGTTATTATTGTCCAGGTTTTCCCTCGACTGTCGGACCCGTAAAAAAATGAAACAGCCAGACGGGAAAAAGAATTTTACTATTCCTGTAACCTGCTCGTGCGTCACACCATGACGAACTTGTCTCAACGGTTGTCCTCGTGCGAAGGAACCATTGTTCTCTCCTGAGGAGAATGATCTTTATGATTTTTTTTCCAAAAACAAGTAGCTCGATAGCCTTCGATAGCATCGAACGTATAATTTAATAATAAAATCCCCGGGATAACAAACGTATCTTTTATTTTGGATCGTCGATTAGCTTGCTTGACCACGCTTGCAATCTCAGAACCGAAATCAAATGGAAGTTCGTTGCGCAAGTTTCGTTAATATTCGGTTCGTTTCATTCATGATTTCAGAAGCGAGTCCGTAGACTTTCGATTCGGGGGCGACGTTATCGGGAAGCTTTTGGAATGTAAATCTACGTTCCACGACTCCTATTAAAGCAAGAAAATGTCCAGGTGGTTCCGAAAATACCGGTTTCGAAATATCTCTTGCGTAATCGAACCGAGAGAGCTGAACTTGTTTATCGATCGACGAACTCGGCGATCCCCTGATTATTTTATTTTATTGTAAAACTGTCGGTGGACACCTTTTCAAGTTTCAACTTGAAATTATTGTCTTAAATTTCGTCGAGACTTTGTCTCGAAAAAGACAACTTTGAATCGAGTGCAATCGAGTACGACTTGGACACAGGCACAAGTAGAAATAGCGACTAATGGAGGGACAAATCGCATTCAATCACACGCGTAGCCAAATTCAATTGCCTCGGAAACGAACCATTATACGAACAAATTTTATTCCACATTTTAGACTTATTTTTTCTACGTAGAATCGCCGTCGTTCCTAACTCCACCGCGATTACTGGATCACCCTGTATGCTTCGATAAATGGATATTACATAGGATAAGATATTAACCCTCGAAGGACCGAGCCACGAGCCATCGCGTAAAAAACTAAAGTCCTGAGCAGAGGGTGTATATCGAATCCACCCACGCTTTCCACATTTTTTTATTGGGAATCGATCTTTAAACGCAAGTGCTTTAAGAGTAATTGCTAGAAAAAAGTAGTACAAAAAATACAAAATATAACAATTCTTTTAGCAAAGCAAATTAGTATTAGTTGGGGGGGTCGAATTTCCAAGAACCGAATATCTTGTCCAGCGTTCTGCCAAAAAAATAAAACTGTCTCGTCCGTCTGAAAGCCGTGCTCTCTTATCGAGGACTAATTTATAGTCCCGTTTGATTCGATCCCCTGTAATCTTGCTAATTTTTCGATCCGTCGGCCGCTATCTAATAATTCCGTCGCGGTCCATAAACGCGTGACGTACGAGCATTTAGGGCTCCCGACCAAGGGACCCTATTCATCCTGATGACGTCACGGGACGCCCTTTCGCATCTATTAAACTGCCGTTGTCCTCCATTATCTCTGTCTCCGTTCTCCGTTTCGGTATCTACGAACATTCGTCCCACAAAATGTCAATAGTCGAAATAACCTGACCGAGGCACTCCATAAGCAGTCCTAAATAAATTTATTTTATATTTTTATAATTTCTTACATGTCTCCCCGTTTATATTTCGAACCTAATCGTACTGGAATAATTGGGGCATCTCCGGGGCAAACGACAAGCAGATTTTCAAAATGTCTTTTTTGTGTACGAAAAAAGTGGAATATTTCCGTGTATCCGTATCGTATCAACTTTCTACGCGTCATAGAAAATAGTATCACAGCTCGAAAAGTTTGTAGCGTCGTAAACGTACGTTTTCCCCGAATCGTTCGTTGCATCGAAATGTTTTGCAGCGTTTTAGCCGTCCTCTCGACTTAAACGCGCCGGATCGAGATATAAATTATCGTCGCTGGAAACGCAGATTTTCGTTATTAATATTTTCCGTTCGAAAACAAGCGAACGCGAAGAAATACTTTCCGGAGGGGTGAAATGTGCACAGGTTCGCGGAAAGTTCGTGCAATCTTATCGGACGATAAGATACACCGTGTGTACACGAATTTTTTTTTCGCTCGTTTCGCGGGAGCATCCTTAATGGACTCGAACGATGTTGCAATCGAGCGGAACAGAAAGTTATTATTTATAGTACGAACAAAACTCGCTGCCGCTCCTTCGGACGACAATAATTCACGCGCCAATAAACAGCCGCTGGTGTAACGACGGTGCAAGGATTACATTCCGATTTTAGACGCGGGCAATCTGCCAATTATAATGCATCCGTGCAATCTTCATCGTGTTTTGAATCGCGCGGAAAGTCGCGGACGACGATCGAGGCGCAGAACGTTCCGCGGATCGATAACATCTCGCGGTAAATAAATCTATCGGGCGCCTCGAGTAAACACGCCGGCAGAAGTAGAATTAAACGCGCGAAATGTTTTAATTCGAACATAATTTATCGCTCGTTCGCCTTGGCGCTGGCGATTTACATATTCGAAATGGCGCGAAGGGAATTTCAAAACACAAATTCATTTTTTTAATCCTTTTATTTGTAAGATCGCATCGGCTACAAGGTCCTTAGGCGCCACGTCGGTGTTAATTCAAATTTTATCTAGTAAGCCATGTTCTTTTAATACGTTTGCTAGTTTGGAGAATCCATTTGTGTGCTTAGGTATTAACTGAACAGGATGAATGCCGATATCTCGGTAGTTTGTTGTTGGAATTGCATATTGGTGGTCCTGGATTTGTTGGTATAAAGCAGTTTTGTTTGTGTGCTCAATTCTTGGCCTCGATAAAGTACTTTGTGGTTCTTTGGAAGATGGTACTGGAATAGCTTGATCGAACTTCGTATTTATCCATTGTCGGTTCCTGTAATAGACGCAGATTATTTGAAAACCTGTCTTTTGAAGGAGCCGACTACGAGAAAGCAGAGAAAAGATATTCGTCGCTGGAATTCGACGACGGAAGACCAGGAGACGAAGGTAGCGTGCACAGATATTTGTATGCGGTTATTGGTCTAGCTCGACACGAGGAATTCCTTTTACGCGGAACGTAAATCGGAGTCGACGCGTTTCGGGAACATTTCTTCGAATATTTCATTACTTCGTGAAAGTTATTTCGTCAAATAATGCACGGCCAACTCCCGCGCGACAGGATTTCGTTCCGACGCGTTTCGAACTTCTGTGCCTGCAAGCAACGAAATTTTTAAACGCGCGGCATAGTCGTTGGGCAAGTTTTATTGGACTCGTCAGACTTGGATGGACCGCGGGGGGTTCGTCCTCGTTGAAAATGCTCGTCGCGTGGCTGAATAATGAGGACCATTTGTCGAAATATAATACGATCGCCACAGAATAATTACCCGTTCTCTCGGCCCGCGCAGATTAATCATTGAAAACCCACTCGCTTAATCCGATATCACGGTTGGCCAGGCCAGTCGTTTTGATTCAGCCGTGGCATTATTTATTCAACGATTTTACCGCGAACGAATCCGTGCACCGCTGTCGATCGATTTCGACGGGGGGAAGAAACCGAATTAATAACCAATAAAACACAAGACAACTCAAAGGAAACGTATCCAAGGGATTAATACCGAAAACCTTTGGGCGAGATGCATTTAATTTATTCCCAGGAACGTACGGAATGGTCTAAACGAAAGTTGAAAAGTCATCTTTGCACGTGCATCTGAATTATTCCCGCGCGATCGATCAAAACTTCCCAACCTGAAAAAGAACAAGAGGCACCGTACTTGTATAACTTAACAAAGAAATGCTGGAAGTTCCGAGCGTATTCGCGCCAGGAGGTTCGATACGGAAGCCATTTTGTCGAACCCATCGTCAAGATGTTGCCAAGCACTTGGCGAAATGGCAATTCGTATTCAGGAATCGTAACGAAACGTGCCGAAGTCTTCTGTACAAAGTACGGTCTAACAGATGTCCTTTTATTAAACGACAGGATCCGAGTTTTTAGCGGGAATCGAGGATACAGGTACATTAGCGTGTCTCCGTTTCGGTTATTTCGCGCTTAATAGTCTCGTTAAGGAATTAAGTTCTGTAGTATCGAAGACTTTAATTGGTCCCCAAAGACGAACTCGTCTTTGAAACAGACCAACGGCGTTGCGACGTCCAATTCAATTACTCTTTGCCGTGTCTCCTAGGTACGAGGAAGAAAGTGCCACTGCATACACGCTCGAAGGATCCCCGCTAATTGCGCGCATTCAACCGCACAGAATGATCGGAGGGAAACGAAACTAATTAACGATTGCTAATGAGTAGACTGCGGATTTCGTGCCCTCCGGCTATGAAACTACGAAAACTAGAGAAAACGTAGCGAACGAAACTTTCAGATTACATTCTTGAACGACCAAGAAGAAGCAATAAGAGAATAATGTCCAACGTTACTTTTTGCTGGCGTGACGCCATAGTGCTGTCAATTTTCCAGTGTTTGGATCAATCGGACGCAACAGGTGACGCGTAGCTAAAATTGAAATCAGCAACGAAGGGAACCGCGATACATGTTTCGTCGAATCGATGTACGTCGAGTATGCAACGAACCGGAGGAAACCCCTTTCGTGGATGATCTGTCCGATAAGTCAGGGTCTTAAAAGGAAACGAGGCCATTGGGAACGAGTGCTTTCCATGCAACAGGTGAAGTGTTCTTTTCTTACTGGCTTCATTGACCGTTTGATGCACGAGGAGAGCACTCGATGGAGTATTCGACGCCCGAAAAATTTGAATATCGTCTCGACTGTCTCTCGTCTCTGGTCTCGTGAAAGTTACGGGCTTTCATAAATTTCAACTAGCTTCCGCAAATTTTTCAAATTTTCGTGCTTCCTTCGCGCCGAAGTAATTTTGAAACTGGGTTAGAGGGGTCGTGGGAAAATGTGTTAATTTCGACGGTGTCTCACGGTGTACGTAGAACAAAATGTGACTCACCTAGTTGTTTCGAAACTGCTTAAATATTAGATAATGTGGTTATTTACGTAGATAAATAATCATTCATTGTGGTGGTCGTTCTCCTGGAAAGAACTCGGTTCGGAAGATTATCGAACGGACCGGAGGGCCGAGGTCGAGAACGCAGGTGCAAAAAGCGACCTTTTGTTGAGAGAATGCCTAAAGCGGATGCTAGCTTTCAAATTGGCGGTCCACTTTTATACTCTTCGCACGTTTCGAGCCCGATATTCGCCAAAAAAATCAGTCATCGACCGTGTACGTTCTCTCGTCCCCCTACAAATGGCTCGATGACGTCGTTCGGTTTAATCTTTCTCCGATGTTCTGTGTTACCGTTTTCCTCGAGCTAAGAATCGGAACAGTACCTTCTGCAAACGTATCCAGAGCATTGTAGTGAAACGCAGCAATAAACGAACGCGATGTTTGGCTTCGTTTCGTAGAGCTTCGGTGTGAAACGCGGCAACAGTCTCCGTTTCTTTCGATATGCGCTACCAAATAAATTTCTAACGCTTCCTGATTCGTTCTTTCGCGAATCTGCGAAGAGTTTGTCCATACTTTGGATCAAGCGTTCGAGATAACAAAATATACAGGATGTTTGAAAAATATATGTAAACGCGTTTAAACAGCTGAATGTATACACCGAGAGATGTGAAACAACTATACTGCTCGGTTTCCGTGAATATTTTGGTTGTTGACACGAGGGTTAAAACCGCAGTTGATACGCATTGATAACAGGATTAAGTCGAGTTTGAAAAATGTAGATAAGAGTACAGTGATTCGAGAGTCACGCGAGGTTACGGAGGGTTAACGTTCACGAAACAACGCCGATTACAAAATCGTTCCGCGGCGACACGCGGCGGGCCAGAATCGAAATTCAGCTGTTCAGACTTTCAAATCGACGCATTGTTCGATAATTGATCCCATTTATCGTGTCAGCAACGACAGTGTACTGTTATTCTTCCGTTCGAGTCGGTTGAAACGCATGATTGCTGCATCTTGTTGGTCGATCTTCGAAGGATCTTCTGATTTAGACAGTTTCGCAACCCATCGAGTTTGATCTTAGTTGCAAAACAATGGCAGACGACCTAGGAAATGTTTTACGTGTTTTCGAGTGGTTGGTTTGTAAAATTTCAAATTTGGCCCGTCGGAGGCCCGTAAATTGGTGTGTTTGGTCGCGAGCGGGTTGGCTCGGGCCTCGAAATAGTGTCGGGACCCGGTGACGCGCGCAAATCAATCCGCAACCCGTTCCAGCGTCGATTAAACTCAACGTGCCACCAACAGACACGCGCTCGCTCCTCTGGCAGACGGTCGGTTCGATGGATCGTCGAAGGATGTTCAGTCGCGGGCGAACCACGGGCTGATCGCGTACACCGCGTGACAAAACAGACGCTTCTTCTCCGAAATGCACTCGGAACTCTCGCGGTTCGATCGAACAGGGTGAAATCGGAGCGATCGGAAGTGTTGTCAGCTTGATGAACGATCGAACGACACTCGCGGAAAATGGGATCGTTGTCGCGAGAAGAACGACTCTGAAACTTAATTAAATAACATCGACGGACGCAGCAACAAAACCGTGCGGTAAACAGTTTAAATAATAGTGAATTAACCGGTGCGGACGATACGTCAATGTATTTTAGTGTCGACGTCTGTGGAAGAGAAAATCACAGTCGAGGCGTGACTATCTATCGTGAACTTCATTAAAATAAAGTACTCGATGAATCGTTACGTCGTGAGATATAGATTGACCCGCTGTCCCTACCAGAGAAAGTAGACGTAATAAAAAATTAACTGTTACGAAGGAGAAAACTATCGAAAGCTCGAATCGCGTACAAATACTTTTATCCGCGTTCGTGGTCGTGTTCGATAAATAATCGACGAAAGTCATGCGGCGATCGAGTCGACGACTCGATATCGAATCGTCGTTGCAAGGAGTGGAAAGATCATGCTGGAAATTCAATGAACGGAATGGCGTGATTGTTGCGTTACTCGATAGAAGTTGATATTGGCAGCCACAACATCGAGTTAACTATTGCTGATCGATAATTATCGTGCATACATGCCCCAAAAGAGCAACTCAAATTTCAGTTTCGTTTCGCTAAAACTAGCGAAATCGTCCGGATTACGTCTTTATCAATCCGCCACAGATTACGAAGCCATAAATTTACTGAAATACTGGAATTAAAGATGCTTCGTTCACGTCGTACGTCGGTTATAACGAGTCTCTGGAAAAATTCTTGCGCCGTTGTAACAATAGTTTGCTAGAGATGTAAACCTTGGCAAAATGCCCTTTCGCGGACAGTACAAAGTTTTAGTATTCTCGTTAGGAAATCTAGAGCCGATATTTTAAAAAGAAAGACGATACAGCTAGAACTGGATCTGGTTGTAACTTAATTGCACCGACGATATTCAGTTCGACTCGGAACGGGATATCGAATAGCCATTACGACTCGTAAACACTCCGCGATGGTGACCTCGCGATCAACGTAACAATTGACAGGAACTTATATTAATCGTCTCGCGAAGAAAGGAAAGTTTCCGTGGCAGAAACGTTCCCGAAAAGCCATCCAAGTTCGGATGTCGAAATCTGCGACAGTGTCGTCGCTATCACGAGGACGGATCCAATTCCCGAATTCCGTCCGGAGGGATCGAGCGTCACGGGAAGGTGGTTTCCGCATGCTGACGGCGCATCATAATAAACCCGTTTCATCGCCCCGGTGATTTTCTATTAATATGCTCGACGGAAGCCCAACGGCCACCATTTCGTCGCCCCGTCCACGACAAGACGATTTCTCGCGGTGACCGTCCGATCGACGGTGACTATTTTCGAAGACGTCGAGGATCGTCCAGCGTTTCTGCGTCCGTCCCTAGGGCTCAGAAGTCGGATCGATCCATCCGCGCGCCGCTGCGGGCTCAAATTGGCCGGAACAAACCGAATCGCCGCAGAGCGTCTCGAACGACAATTACGAGGATATTTTTCAAGATGGATCACACGGGATCCACTTGCACAACGATTACGCTTCCCGTGCGGAAGAACGTGTACCTACACCGCTGGTAAATCGCAACTTTCTGGTTCGAAACGGGTATACAGCGATCGTGTTGCCTAACTGCACCATGAACGTCGCTGTTACGTGGTCGTAAGTCGAGGTTGCCACGAAGTTCCATAAAGGAAAACGATCGTAACGGTAATTCGCCCTCGAGCTGTCCGGATCTGTTCTCCAAGATGATCTCTATCGGCTCGAACGCGTCGGTGGATACCCTGAAAGGGGCCCAGCGAGTCAATAATCTGACGATCGGTCTGTTCCTGCAGCAGGAGGACTCCTCGACACGACGCGACCCCCTGTACATCGTGTTACCGATCACGATCATTTACGCGGTGATATTCCTTACCGGGGTGGTCGGTAACGTGTCCACGTGCGTGGTGATCGCGCGTAACAAGTCCATGCACACCGCCACCAATTACTATCTGTTCAGCCTGGCCGTTTCCGATTTGCTGCTGCTGATATCGGGCCTGCCGCCGGAGATGTACTACATATGGTCCCATTTCCCGTACGTGTTCGGCGAGGCGTTCTGCATTATTCAGAGCTTCGCCGCGGAGACGTCCGCGAACGCCACGGTCCTCACCATCACCGCCTTCACCGTCGAGAGGTACGTGACGACTTTGAATTACCGCCCTCGACCGGCCCCTGGACGGAGAATAATGGCCATCCAGGATCTCGAGAATGCCACGGGACGTTCGAAACGGGCAAACGAATGGGCCCACCCCCTTTTAACCCTCGACCCGTCCTGCACCTCTGTCGAAACTGTCGCGATCGCGATCGATTGTACCCGTTTAATTGTACTCCTCTTTCGACGGAGACTTTTCTTATTTCGAACTCGTTAATAGATAATGAAAATAGTATTTTACAGGGTGAACAATTTTAACGGAAGATTCTAGAGGCCAAAATGAGACGAATCTTCGCCATAAGTTATTAGCGTTTAACGTTCCCTACAGGCGGATAATATTTCTCTAAAAGCATCAGGCATTCGAGGTGTACGATTACACCCCTTGACGTACAGATAGGTTCGTTGAACCGTAACCCTTCCTGATTGACGGGAACTTGTCGCATTCTTTCGGGCTATTCGATCCCTTTTATTTCTGGGAGCATAACGTCCACCCTCGTTTCGCAACAAAAGAAACGCCGGTGTAATTCTATTTTGGATAACGATGGAACGTCGAGTCGAAAGAATATATCGAAACGGACCCTTTCCAAGTTTTATTAAACGCTTATTGAAAGTCGATGTTTTTCACGGGCGAACGATCACGCGTCGATTTTGTTTATACATCCGGGAAACGCAAACCTCATTTTTCCGACGTTCGATTTATTTCCCGTGACTTTTTTCCCCCCGTGTCTCCCTTGTGGCGTCGAATTTGTTGACACGCGTCAGCTTTGCCAACGATTCTCGAACCGTAATTACAACTAACAGCTGTTGCAAGCTTATAATTCAATGAAAGCAATTTCACCGTAAAATGAAGCCTTCGTTTTTATTTTTTAACGCTGTTGTTACACGCATGGGATAAAAGTGCACCGGAATTGATCCGTATTTTACTACCGACGACTGCAAAATATTCTGCACGGGAATTTAGATCGGTATTTTATTTAAAAATGATGCTGAAAATTGTAATTATCCCAGCTTCTGTCGATCCACTATTTACTCAGGACCCATCCTATGTAATTTCGTCCATTAAATTTGACAACGACAGGTTCAGAAAATTTCGTGGTAGGTTCGAATATAATTTCGATTTTTCGTTTCGACGTTTCAGGTACGTCGCGATCTGCCATCCCATAATCTCCCACACGATGTCGAAGTTGTCACGGGCCGTAAAATTCGTGATTGTGATTTGGTTGCTGGCGTTGTGCCTGGCCGTGCCCCAGGCGTACCAATTCGGCATCGTTTACGACTACAGCAACGGTTCGATGATCTCGGACAGCGCTAGATGCTCGGTGAAGTGGACCCTGATCGACCACGCTTTCGAGATATCGACCATGCTGTTCTTCGTCGTGCCAATGACGATCATCACGGTTCTCTACGTCCTGATCGCGATCCAGCTGAGAAAATCGCGGCTGCTCACGGCCGCCGTGAAGAGGAACCACTTGCCCGCCGGACTGAATCACTGTGACAGCGGCAGAGGGAAAAGCTCCGCCCAGAGAAACGTGGTTCGCATGTTGGGTGAGCGAAAATGTCACTTTCGATCCTATTCTTTATTTCTTACAACACCACGGACGCGCAGTTAAATTAAATCTTTGCAAGGACTGGGTGTGTCTACTCCAATCCTCGCAAACATCTACCATCGCGATAGAAAGGATACTTTACGTGGAATTCAAAGATTCTTTGCACAGATAATTTTGGAGGCTCAAGAATTTTAACGCGAGATTTGATTAAATGTAGATTTCTCTCCCGATTTACGCGCGATTGTATCATGTAACACGGACTGTGTCAATATTTTTATTCGACGCCGTGATGGATCGTAAATTGAACCTACCACAGACTTTATAGAAACGCTATTTCAATTCCTCGAGTGTATAGAGGCTGACACGGCATCAATCATAATGGTCACGCCGTGGACACTTTTCTTGGCGAGACAGGAACCCGTATGCCACTCTACGCGAAAGATATAAACAAGAGAATATAGACTGGGGGTCCGGTGGACCTCGTTGTTGGCACTCTAAAGCTACGTCTAACTCGTTTTAATGCAGACTAGACCCTCGTTTCAGGCAGTAGAAAACAGAGTTGGGTCGATGTAAAATTGCTCCATCGTTCAACTTGATTTCCAAACACAAAATCATTGTTCGTCCCTCGCTTGACGTAACGTTGTTTTGGAAATAAAATGTCTAGCATACAGAATGGCGCAGGAAATCGATTACCGAGTCCATTCGGGGCTTGTATAATTGGTCGTAATTTTTGTCTCGATGATTTCTATTTTTCTGGAGGATCGTTTAAGAAACCGGTTTGTCGAAACTTAACGATAACTGACCGTGGAATCATCTTTGATTTATAGAGGATGGAAAAAGAGAAACAACACCTTCACGAAATTCTTGCCGATAGTCGGATAGATACGTTTGACTTATTATTTGCCCAACTTTGGGAATGTCAAGAGGAGTTGGCTAGACGTAGTCCATGGAAGAAGCAGGGTTTGTTGCTTTACGACGTCGTAAAAATAGTTTTTTTGCGCGATAAATTCTTCTAGGATACGTGTCTTTACGGACGTTCATGCCAGTTTTTGGCCGAACGTGAAATTTATTGGGTCCGGATGCTTTCGTTCCGTTTCCTGGATTGTTGCTAACGTTTAAGAGCAACTTAGGTAATAAAAGGAACTAGACGGAGCACGGTATTTGCTTTGATTAATCGACAAAAAACGTCGAGGATGAAATATTAGTTAACGGACGAGCGAATCGATAAAGATGAGCCGATGGGTTTAATTCTCTGGAAATTCTTTACCCTCGTACTCGATAATAATACTGGATAAAATGGTAATCGAACGAGCAACCTAATTTGATGACCGTGCTGTATATATATATTTATTTAACGTCTCGACGGGAAGAACAAACACACAGTGTACAATCAACAAAATTAGCTTTAACGAAAAAAGCGACGTTGACCGCGTTTGGGCTCCCCTTAAATGTTTACTTAATTTCTCTTTCATTAAAATGGAATGTAGAATGTCCACTACTTTCCATATACAGGGTGCTCGATCACACCTGGGAAATAATGGGAGATTCCGGAGATCAAAAGAAAACAAAAATCAAGAATATCAATTTCTTGACTAAGGCTTCGTTAAAAAGTTAGTCAATAATTTCAAATCGTTTTGGAAAAATTATTTTTGGTTGCTGGGGTCAATTATAATCATTTTTGGTCGATAGACATATCCCCGAAATCCTACCCACTTTCTAGAAAAAAATTCGAGAATTTGTGAAATTTTTCGACGGAAAAAAAAATTTCAAATCGTTTTAGAAAAATTATTTTTGGTTGCTGGGGTCAATTATAATCATTTTTGGTCAATAGACATATCCCCGAAATCCTACCCACTTCCTAGAAAAAAATTCGAGAAGGTGTGAAATTTTTTGACGGAACAAAAAATTTCAAATCGTTTTGGAAAAATTATTTTTGATTGCATGGGTCAACTATAATCATTTTTGGTCTATAAACATAGTTTCGAAATCCTACCCACTTTCGAGAAAAAAATTCAGTACAGGCGGAACTTTAAACGTTGATAACTATGTAACGAAGCCTCCATCAACAAATTGGTATTCTTGATTTTCGTTCTATTTTGGCCTCTAGAATTTCTCGTGATAATTTTTTGAAGGGGTTGCCGAACACCCTGTATTTTTATCAACTTTTAATGAAATAATAAATGAAGAGCTGTCGAAAGGAAATCAGAATCGCAAGAAACAGGGAGCAGGAATTTTCGAATTCCAAGCTGACCAGAAATACCGCTAACGGAGCGAACGATCATTTCATCGACATTATTAATCGCATCCACTGACCTCGATATTGATCGAGCGTCGCGGAATTCGTTCGTGGCGGAAAATTATCCCGCAGAGCGAAGGAAAATTCTTCGAATTCGGTCCGAGGTGTATCGAAGGGACGCGTTCATCGGCTCGTTCCATTTCGAGCGGTCGTGGATCGTTTCGCCTTCTTCGATATCGCCGTCGATCGAGTCGAACACGAACACCATAACCGCCAAGGCCCATAAACTGACCGAAATCAAGGGATCGTGCGATTTTACGAGCCTACCTTTCCGAGTATCGTCGCAATAGAAAACATTTCGAGGCATAGTTTATCCGGGTAAACGATGCGAATTTACGAGATTCGAATCAACTATCCTCTTGAGTTGCTCTTGTTAAATAAAAGTGTCCAAAGAACGTGCCACGAATCGTATTCGAATACAGAAATCGTATCGGAGCAATGGAACGTTCGAGGTGCGATTTTCAGTTGCAATCGCGCGACAAATGCTCGCTCGTTAGAACGGAAAGAAGAATAGGCGCGGACGGTCGAACACGCTAAATCCATTTTTGGATAGTCGAATGCGGGGACACGGATTTTTCTACGCGGTTCGAACTTTTCTCGAGTCCACTTATCGTCGATGGAGAGAAATTCAATCCTCCCTTGGAGAGCACGTCTTGATATCGAAATCGATTTTTCGGTATTATCCGAGTGTCGAAAGTTGAAACATTAAGCAAAGGATCGGGAACGTTCAACGTGTTATTCATGGTTCGTTTCCTTTAGCAAGACGTAGCGAAACTTTCGTCTCGATGGAATACGACGCTTCCTAAAGACGTCGTCGACTCCTGCCTCCGTTTAATCGGACGAAACAGACAATTGCCACTTCTGACCGTTTCTTTTTTCCTTGGGAAACCCTCTCCAAGAATTTATCTGTTCGTCTGTGTCTGTTTACGAGACAATTTTTTATAGCGTGAACAGCGTTGGAGTAGAACTCATGGTGCTGCAATCGACGTTCCACCATAATTTTGAAAATCGTGGCATTCTTATCGCGACGATAACTATATTTGCATTGTCGGAAGGCCCACCGCGAGGTGCCGAGTCGTCTTTGGATCGCGTAAAGTTTGAAATACGACGATAGTAAAGTTTAACGCCGGGGGAGTTTCTTCGGTTCATAAATTTCACGGCAAATTATCGGAATCTGTTTATGGCCTCTAGTGTTTTGACAATGTAACTATCCCAATGAAAGATCTTGATCTACTTTAACGAGAATATTCTTTCCTGTTTATATTCCGTGTTAATGGAATCCAACATCATCGCAGAAAAATAGAAATAACCTAACGCAAATGAACGCAAAAATAATTTATATCGCGCGCTGGGCGCAGTAGTAAAAATAATTAAATCCCATCGCGTTAATAGGATCCCCCTGATTACTTTATGCCTTGTGTATTTATGCACTGTCTGCAATCATATTTAACACGTTTACTGCGGTTGGGAGCATATATGCTCCGTATCGTATTTCGTTTTATACCAGCCATCTTTCATCGAACATTTATTACGCGCTAAGTCGATAATTTATGTTTTTTCCCCCCGAGATTTACAAAATGTAAATGATTTACTCGATGTACATTTCGAAAAACTCCATAAGTTTAATCAAATATCTGTGTAGAACGTACATGTGGCAAGAGAGAAGGTACGTTTTTCCTACAAAAAATCAATATGTTTTAAATTTAAATTTAACGTGGCTCTGAAAAGGGATGGTTCTCGTTGAGCAAACAGATCCTCGCTACAAAGGGTTTCGGTAAAAGCGCAATAAGCGAGGTAAATCTATCACGGTCGTCTGAACGAAGACAGTGTAATATGCATATTGCAACGAGAAAGAAAGATCGCTTCCTGGTTAAGGGGAAACGATATTACAGAAGCAAGTAGAACGTGAACAGCGTCTGTCAGACAGACAGGCGGAAGGAGGCGATGAAAAATTTCATACGGTTTACAACGTTAATAAAAATCATACACTCTGTAGAATTCTCCATCCCAGTTTCGAAAACAGTTAACTGCTGTTATCGTTCTTGATTTCGAGGTTGTTTAAATATAGCCTTCGAAAGGAGTTCAAACAAACCATCGCACATGTGGCTGATTTGCTTCAGTCGTAGATCCTACTACCTTCGACCCTATCTACCGTTCGTCTTAAACTTCTATTATCTCCGGCAACGTCCTTGATAAGCGTCGACCTGATTCGAAGTTACCGGTCCTCCCGCCCCCTCGCTGTTCATCTGGTGATTTCGATCAACCGAACGTTTCCCTTTGTAAACTGTCCGCGACTGTCTTGTTTATAGTTACGGATTTACGATCCGTGACGCGTACAGCAGTCGACAAACGTCTCGAAGCCCACGACGCCTCGCGTGTCGCGTGTAAATCGGATTTAATTTTAAAGTGGCGTCGCCTCGTAAATTCTTCGAGGTGATCGGACGCTGGGTTTCGGCGCGGGCGTGTCGCGTCAACCGCGGAAAAAGGAAACGAATTCCACGGATTCCTACGCTTATCCCGCCTCCCAGTTAGGCGTTCGAGGATAATAAAAGATCAGTATTTAATGCAAAACCCTTTGGTACGATAGACAGTTCTGCGTTACGAGTAAATACGGGGTTAAAGGATTTTTTAATCCGCGAGACAGAAGCTTTCAACGACCGTTTACCATTTCTATTCGGAATATTTTCAATTTTCGAAGACATTCGTTATAAAAGTCATACGGGGCGGTTTTCCATTTCGCTCGGTGGAAATTAATTTGACGCTGGTTTGAAAAACGCAAGCGATAACGGATAGGATCTAGAGTGCGTCATTTACTCCCAGGGCCGATATCGGGCGTAAAAATGGTCGATATGACCCGCGGCTGACGGGGAGCCTCGATTTCGCGGTAATGTTTTACATTTTCTGCCGCTCGGCACGCGAAAATCTATCCTGCGGTTGAATTCCCGGCGTGTGACGGCCGCGATTTTTGCCACGGTTATCTCACCGATGGCGAACAGCTATCAGGGATGAAGATAAGTGACCCCAATGCACTCGTAAATTCGGTACCGTTGCATTATCGGTGGTACCTGTTCTCTTTTGGGCTCCTTTCCGCGATCATCGATTACGCCCGTCGTTTTGCCGCCGCAATGCGATCGTTTCGTGAACCCGCGCGCGCTGTAAAAACTAGCTGCAACTTATCGCCGCTGGCTACGAACGTGATCTTTTTTCGTCGGTGTTAATTAATTCGAGACGATCGAACCTCCGTGGAACAACAGCCATTCAGAGGCATCTATTTACGGCCGTACACTAGCAATCACGGTTTGTATAACTTTTTGCTGCGCTGCACGCGAATACAATCTATTTCTTGATCGATCCGCTTACGTAAAACTAGAACGATCGTCGGTACGCGTTCGAACTGGTCTCCCAGCGACCAGACGATAACACGGCGATTCATATTTCACGTTGGTAAAACCGGAGGTTTCCGTCTGTAGATTGTGGTCTTTTTGAATGAATCGAAGAATAGCGTAGAAAACATCGACCATCCTCGAGCGTCGTTCGTAATGCGGAATTGTGTATTTTCTTAATGCTCCTGTCTATTGTCGGGTGAACACGCGAACAATTTCCATTCGGATCGTACGAAACTCGCGCGTCTCGCATGGCGTGCACCAGACACGGACTGCATTCAACGTTCCAGCTGCTGACAGTTCGCCAGGACTGTATAAATCGTTCCTTGTCGAGTATCCGAGGAGAAAATAAACCCAGTCGCGTGTGCGTATCCTAACGTTTAGATGTGCTTGAAACACTACCGAAAACCACTGTTCTCTTTGCTTCTTTCGAGTATCAAAGCGTCGACGGAACAGCGAAAATAACCCTCTCTACCGATAAAATACAAATTAAATTTACTTTGATCGGTCCAGAGCGCTTCGATGACGTTTTGCTTCGAATCGGTGGCTTCCTAACTGGCTTCCTCCCATGCAGGCACCTTTTACCATCGTTTAAATACAAATGAAATTTACGTCTCGTTCGTCGAAACTTGGATCTTCGACGCAGGTGTTCCCGGACAAAAGCAAGACTCTCGGTGACATTTTGCTTGGAATCGGTAGCATCCTAACGGGGTTTCCTCCCACGTAGCTCCTGTCGAACATCGTCGAACGGACCGACAGCTAAATTTGCGATGCCCAGCAGGGTCACTATTGTTCCTATCGTGTCGTGTCGAAACAGAGAAATCAAAGCGACAGCCATCTTCGAAGGCCGATTTGAAATTAAAATTCTCGTCTCGTGAATTCGTGAATGGTCCGAAACGGGACGAGATAAATATTCCACTGTGGCCATTGAACGAACAAAGGGATTTAATTCACCCGCATTTTTCTAAATTAAAAATCTTATTTCGCGCCCCTCTTGTAAGATATCGTCCCCCAGGGGTGTAGCGACACTTATATTAGGAAATATCCTTCAGTTTCTATATACTCTCAAGTTCACGAGCGTCTGAAATCTGTATGAGCAGAGACACAGAGAGAAACCCGGTCACGAAACGGCTTCGTTGCTAATTACGAAAGTCGCGTTCGTCCGTCGCGCGACAAAATTACCGTGGCTACGTGGGCAACGAGTAGAACTTCCGTCGGCTATTCTCAGAAATAAAAACTGCGAAATGAAACTCGAAAGAAACAACGATAAATCGTTCTCGCGGACGGAACAAGCTTACCGAACTTTTTCTCTACGTTTGACACGCATCAAGCTTTCCTTGTGCTCGTTTTCCTCGACGGAATACCATTTCAACGTTTCCTCGATCGCCCGAGGCTTGAACTATTTCCATTGTTTTATATTTTAAAATCATTTTTTTAGACTCCGGACCGTTTGTATTTCAATAACTTGTAGAAAAGGTAGAAAATAATCGCGGTGAACGAGTTTATTGAACGAGCAGAGGACCAACAACTTGTTGACAGATTATTTTTGCGGCGATACACTTTATCGCGATCGGGAGTTATTTACGGCGGAAGCGCGTTTTTCGAGACACTGTATCGCCATGACCGATCGTATTTCAGCGTCGGGAGAATTGAAAATGACGGATGAGCGGTTTTTGTGATGCTAAGTAACCGTTACGAAAAATGGGGGACGTCAAAGAGCAAACGCGTTGCAGTCGATCGCGTTTTCTGTCTTCGTGGATCTCCGCGAGCGCATTCTTTATTTACAGAGGCGCGCAACGTTTTATTCGCCTCTTTGTAATTTCTGTGCTCGGCGAACATCAGTTTCGACGCGAAAATGACACCGAGATCGCAGGTGGTGTTAAGCGCGGTGGTTTCGAAACTATAGAATGCAATTATTGGAGCCTGTTTACGCGCGCTGTTCGTTCGAAACAATGTCGTTATCGTTGCACCAAATTGCAAGGTTATTTAAGAGAAGATCGTAAGTACCGATCTCTGTTATATTTCAGATGCAAAGGAGAGTCGAAATAAAATTTTTAATGCGACTAAAAAAAAGTGGTAGTTACGCCAATGGAAAACCAGCGAAAGTACGGAGAAATCGAGAATAATCTGTCCTTACGCCTATGGTTTCCCGAGCCAGTTGCTTCCGCGTTTTTTTCTCTATAGACAGTTTTTTTCCCACGCTCCTTCGCGTAGCTCGTAAGCGCCATTGTTTACGTTTTTTTTCTTTTGTGCGTACGCATTACCAGGAATCTCTGCGTGCCAATCTCCATTCATTTCTCTCGATCGGTTCCAAATATGGACAGTAGCCGTAACTCGGCGTAGAAGCGTCGGATTTCTTTCGAATAAAGCTTGAATTAAAAGGGACGAATTCTTGGACAAACTGGACGACATTTTATCGATCTAATTTGCCTTAAATTTTTACTTTTGAAGAGACTATTATTCGTAACTTTCGATACAGAATGGAGTTTATTATAAACGAATATCTCTGAGTTGAATTTATTCGAGCACGAGGATCTCTCGAACGTCTTAGTAGTCCATTACGAAGTAAATCGATCGCTCTCGAAAAGGTCAAAGCCCACGCTGTAAAAGTATTCCCGTTTGCAGTTGCAGTGGTGGCGGCGTTCTTCATCTGTTGGGCGCCATTTCACGCCCAGAGGCTGTTGGCTGTGTACGCGCAAAGCAGCACCACCGAACCAAAACACGCGTTAGTAATAGTCTACACCATCCTCACGTACATGTCAGGAGTGTTTTATTACCTCTCCACGACGGTGAATCCACTTCTCTACAACATCATGTCCAACAAATTCAGAGAAGCGTTCAAGGTAAGTTATCGCTCGAGAATCCCCAGCGGAGGCCTACGGCAGCCGAAGACCTCTTTGAAAACCGTCTCAAATAAATTCGTTTCCCCGTATTAAATTTATCTGGAAATTCACCACCACTCGAGATAGGATTACTTTAAAAAAAATACAACCGGTCTCTCGCGTTATTTATTTTCATCCTCGATGACTTCTAACGCTTTCATCTGTTTTATCTATACGATTAGTTTTTATTCCAATAAATGAAATCGAGTACGACGGAGTAGGTTGAACGAACTAAAGTTAACTTTCAGTCGATGCTGTCGAATAACTGCGGATGGAAATGGTCCAGCCGGAAGTCGGTTCCCAGACAGCCAACGTACAGCAGCCTCTCCAGGTACCCGAGAGCAGTGACCAGGCAGGCGGACGACCGTCAGAATTCCACGTCGATTTCCGTCAGCGACGAGAACCAGAATCCGTCGAACGCGGCACGAACCACCGCCACCGAATTGAACGGATTCCCGGAACGAAAGGAGCAGGATCATCGATCGAAGGCGTGCAGGATCAATTCACGGAAATACGGGAGGAGCGTGTCCAGAGGATCGAGCACCAGCCAGCTCACTTTGATGACCTCGATCGGCAAGAGCTTCAACGAGGGCAACAACAACGTCGCCGCTGCTTGCGTCAACGACTGCTTGTTGAGGATCCAACGTCCAGCGAGGGCTGTCACTTTCGGTGATTGTTAAACGTTTATTAGATCTATATACCCCCCCCCGACGTTACCAGGAACCCTCAATATTCTTCGTACGATCGAGGAAGGGTGTTTAAACACACAATCTTGACTCCCAGGTGCTATAGCGAGCAAAGACATTTTCTCTTGGGTCGTTCCATATATATTTGATGTTTATCCACGTTGTGACACTAATTCTAAGCATACTCGAGCTGCTAAGCCAATAACCACACTCGATCTGAAGTTGACAAGCGCTTAATCTACCTCCTGGAACAACGGGTTTAGATCCAGAATTACCACAACTCTGAATATTCTCCGTCTGATCGAGGAGGGCTGCTTAAATAACACGATCTTGACTCCCAAGTGCTGTTGCAAACAAGATTTTTATCTTTCTCGCCTACAGAGCTAAAGTGCAGTGTAAGTCTGCTTTTCTGCATTCGCGATTTTTCGTTAAAAACCATAAGATGCTTGAAAGCCCCTTTCCAGAGACTTGGTCGACTCTACCCTTTTGCTGTTAAAGTTTTAAAGCCCTGTACACACGCCTCCTATATAAAGGGCTTAATATCCAAGAAACACGAAGCAACTTCCTGAAGGATTATCGATAAAAGAAAAGAAAAATAGTATTTGTTTCGAGAGATGGAAACTTGAGCTGCGAGATCCTTTCAAAATTTTCTTTGCAATTACACGCGTTGTGTAATCCTTTCACCGCCTTCAAAGAGCCAGTCGCTAACGTATAAACCACGTTATCTGCTTTTCGAGTTATTATCTCTGTTAAAGTGCAAGAGTGGGAACGATAATTCCTGAATTCTTTAAACGGTATTTTCGACATCGTCCATGCAGACGTTCGGAACCGATGTTTATTTTCGTCGATGGGACTATTCGTAGGATCCGTGACGCTTTCCACCGTGCTAGATGGATGGCCGAGGCTACATATTATTTGGAAACTCACCTATTTCGAGATCGTTTTAAAAGGAATCCGGAAGAACGTTTAGCTGCTCGAGATATATGTACCTTTTTAACTAATTTATATATTCGCTCGTGGATCCGATAATAGTTCATGTATTTATAGTTAAAGCATCTTTTCGATTTTTGATCGATGTTAACGATCAAGAAATTTTTTATCAGGAATTTTTGTTCCCAGAATGATTATTGGAATGTTTGAAACAGGTGTACTGGCGGAAAGATTGAGGCTCGGTACCAAAGGGCTGTTTCAACCGCAACCGAAGATCATGGCCAACCCTTCGACGAAACCGGAAACAGCCAGCGCGCTTCCGTCACGATTTCAAAGCCACCCGAGCATCGAGAGCTCGAACACCATCAGCAACACCAGCTTGCAGGATCTAGACGAGACCGAATTCACTGGCACGGAATTGGCTCAATACATGAGTACATTAAATCGCGACAAGATCACCTGACGCTCGTTCCCGGAAGACAGCGTCTGATCCTTGTTCGATCTCCTCCGGATCGGAATCCGATCTTTTCGAGCGCGCAGAGAGATCGAATGATGCTGACTTTCCTCTAATATTCGAATCGTTAAAAAATACAGGTGACTTGAACACGTTCGAAAGAGTCTACGATCGCATCGACTGGAACTCTCAGCGGGAATTTAAGGGACTATTTATCGCGAGTGTGTATTTATGCGAAACGAACGATTTTAAAATTTACTCTTCCCGAAATAAAATCGATATGATTTGGCCCCCTTGTACAACTCCACGCCGGACTCTTACATATCTGTCTTTGAGATTTTGCTTTTTTCGTACAGTATATCGTCGAGACCTACGAGGAACAGTTCGAGAAGCTCGCGTTAGGTGAAACGCTCTCGTCGAATAAAGCTACAAGTTAAGTACAAATTTATTTCTTCTTTTATATTGATCGATGTTTGAAACAATACACTTTCTTCGTACACCGAGACGCGTACATTGAATTCTCTATTTATTTTTGTACATTCTCTGTTAACGCGTGTCGCTGAAACGCTCGGCGTAACATTTGTAAGATAGAACGTGTTGTATAGCTTCTTTGGAATCTTGTGCGGCTTGTGAGTAATAAAAAAAAAAAAAAAAAAGAATCAACGGGTCCGACGCTGCGAATTGTTTTTGTTCGTGCATCGCAAACGCGTTGAAAAGATGGTCGAATGTTTTTACAGGGTGGTCTTCGGTCTTGAGTCCAGGTAAGCTTTGATTTTCGGCAGAGCTTTGACCTTCTCCACCAGTTTCTTCAGTTCCGGGTAATCCTTGTTCAGATCCTCCCCGATGATGTTCGACAGAAGTTCCGTGTACGTGGTGAACAATAAATCTGCCCAGGACAGCTGAAACAAATTCAAACGTCAGTTTCGAAATCGTTTGTCATAGAAATTTCGTCCTCTCGATTTGCAAAAACATTCGCGCGGAGAAAACGTAAGAAAAGACGTTTCGTAATCGGTGTGACGCGCATCCGCCACTATTCGCAGTAATTGAATTAGTCATTCGGTACTAAATTGTCGAGAGATAGACTAATCTCGTTCGCGATGGACGACCTCGGAGCATTCTAATCCTAAGAAGATTTGAACGAAAAAACCGTGCTGGTGTCTCGTAACAGGAAACGACTGATCGTCATACAGGGTGTCGCAGAAATAATATTCTTTCAACTTAAAAATAAAATAATCACCTTTCCATTTGCAAGGTAACCATTGTTACTCTTGACCTTCTCTTCGAGCTTGCTAAGGATGGTCGGTGCCTTGGCGAACGCACCTTCCTTCAGTTTCGCCTTGAATGCAGCATCCTGTTCCCAATGATACTGAGTAAATCCTGCAAAATCGTCGGGATCGTAACGAAAAAGTTCCTTATCGTTCGTTAAAATTTCGAAACCGAACGGGAGGCGATACGCACCTATTTTCAAATCGTCCAAGGTGTCGACGATGGCGTCGATCTCGTAAGATTCGACGTCGTTGGAGCCGTAGAGGTTGTTCCTTCTGGCGATCAGGCGGGAAATTGCCTTGGATTGGAAGTAAGGTTTTCCGTCGATCTCCAAAACGGGCACCTGGCCCATTGGCATTTCTGCGGGGGAGAAAACAATTAGCTGCTGTTCGGCGAAAAGGGCCCTTAAGTTCGAGCAAACGTTAGTTGCGTTTCGTAGTGCATGGGGGAATGATTAAAATTATTTGCAGTCGTGTCAAGGGCTGATCTAAGGTTCTCCATAAAAAACATGGCGTATCGGGACACTTACTAGGCTTGTATTCTGGCCATTCCTCGAAGGTGAGTCTTTTATCCTCGAACTTGATCCCGCTCTGGTGAAGCAAGAACCTGATGCCCTCGGCAAGACCAGTGACATTGAAGTACGTCAACTTGTAGGTAGTCATTATCTGCATAGAATATCACGATTTTTTAATTATGGAAATTCTGGTAAAGAACAGTTTACGGCGGTGTTCTTGAAAACTTCAATGGCACGTAGTTTTCGTGAATATTCGTCCCCTCGATGAATCGAAACGCGGAGATAAAGGAAAATAAATTTGTAATACTTGTCCGACCACTTTGTAATTCCGATTAACATATTTAAATTTTCTGCACGGGCGCCAAGTTTAACGTTGCACAACGAAACGCGAAAGAGTGCTCCGAATGCGTAATGACTCTGTTTAAATGTATCTACACGCTGTCCATTCGATCGATCTCAGTTAGTTTGCCGATTATACGGTCGTTTTTATCAAAATTCGATCGTAGAACGAAGAACTGAGCCATCGATCATTCAACGCGATAGAAATGATTACACAGAGTATACTGTTCGAAATAGATGACCCAATTTTATAACGCGTTGATTGCCATGGGAGTCACCGGTGACCGGCACTTGCTTATTCCTTATCTTTCCGTTAGATTACCATTGCAAAAATCTGATTTTTGTTACCAGTTTTGAGATTGTAAATAAAGACCTCCTATAACACGGTTCATAAATTGCAAAAACCCTCCTATAACACGATAACATGATTTTTGCTTAACATATTTAACACTAGATTTACGGGCATTGATCGCATATTTATTAATACCTTTCATGTTGACGATTACGATTTTTCTTTTAATTAGAATATGTATTCATGCCATTGCATCCATCAAATTCAACATAAGTTGTTAATAAATAACATTTACGCGTTCTGCAATTTTAAATATGGAACATCCGTCAAATTGACAGCTTTAAATTACCTTAAAATAATGAACAATAGTGGCTTCACATGAAAATACATAATTATAATTTATTAAATTATTATTGCGTTAAATTAAAATAATATGCTTCTGTAGAATTAAAAAAAAATATTTGCTTTTAATCAGTTTTCGGAACTCCCCTTTTTATACTGGTTCTGGGTCTCGTATAACGCGGTTTCACACAACACGACATTTTCTAGGAACCTATCCACCGTGTTATAGGAGGGCTACCTGTACTATTCTTTCCTTTCTTTTTTTTTTTTTTGCAATATCATACTCGATTTATTCGTCAAGTAACGGGCTCGTTTCGAACTGGACACCCCGTAGATGATTCTGTGTTCGAAACATAGACCGTCCGTCCAATGGAGGGACCGGAGATGTTTCAATCAGTTACGCAATCAATGACAGTACATCGTTCGAGAACATTTTACGCTATCTGCGAGGGGCAATTTGCAGAGTGTCGTCACTAGGAATCGCATAGTTGTAGTTAACAGTCACGGCATTGAAGTTAATTAACGGGTGGAACCAGTAGGAATAAACCGGCTGAAAAAAATGTGACCTCGTTGCGGTAAACTTAACGACAGAAACTAACGAGCAACAACAAATACATACGGGACAAATAGAAATCGGTTACAAATTCGAAATTATCACCTTCATTGGCTTCCTGGGTTATCCAGTTCGAAATACTTAATATTTACTAATCGTATTAACGGGTTGACGGTATGAACTTTTAAACGATCAGTTGGCTATAGTTTGGAACTATATAAAACGGAAAATACACGATCAGACTGTCGAATATTCCTCTCTTTTGCACTCTAATGTGAGTAAGTATCGAGAACGCGTTTATATACAGCGAAAATCGAAGCTGACGCGTTAGCTGTCACGGTGGTCACCGGTGACCGGCACTTGGCAACCATTTTCGAATTCTGATACTTAATTTTAAACCGAGTTACCGTTGTTAGGTACGCTATAATATAACAAATACACGGATATAGCGGTCGGTAAAATTGGAAGGAACGAAACTACGCCTATCGATTTTAGATAGCTGCACGAAAATTCCAATTCTCCGAGGCGTAAAGTAGGCCAACTACGACGTCGCGTTTACGCGAAATTTCCGGGCGGTTTCTATTCGTGACGATGAAAAGTTTCGAGAAATATCTGGAAAAATAAACGCACTCACGGTGGTTTCTGTGGGTATACACTGGCAGACGACTGGAATCGACAAACTCTCGAATACTACTGATTCCGCGTTCGCGAACCAGTTGCTTTAAGTAAGGATCCAACCATCGTTCGATGGTTGCGTTACCAGATGGCTAGACCGGTGCCCGGAGCAAACTGCCCCTCCACTCACGTACATCGATGCACAGACACGTGTACGTGAGCACCTGAGCTTCGTGCAGCTTCGGAAATTCGAGAGAGAACATGCATACGAGCTCTCCCTCTTGCTCTCAAAGCGGCTGAGCAACGATCTGCTTCAACCAGCTGACACAGGAGTTTCAATCTCGATCAGAAGTACCATTTACCTACTTGGAACAGTCTTTCTACCTTTACACAGTGTATAAGATTACTATTGTCAACGATTTTATACGATATTTAAAGAAACTATTCGAAATTCGCGTATTTCAGCTGCTTCGAGAGCGAGAAAGAGACTGTTATATCGGCCATCTTTCTCTAATTCACGAAGATGCCCGAAGCGAGGCTCACGTACACGTGGCTGTGACACGTCAGCGTGTGTAGGTGGGACTGGTTTGTCGTGTGATAAAACTGTTCGATGTTCCCCCCTACCAGCATGTGAGCCTAACACATGCAATCATGGTTCTATGCAACCTCTGGCGGCTTGCGATAGAACGCTCGGTTGTACGAATATAAATATGTATTTTACAGAGTCATGCACGCTCGACTTTACGCATGCTGCTCTGTCAACGAATTTGCGAACAGTTGCAACATAGTATTATCGAATAGTTTAGTCAAACCTTGATTAGATAATTCCAACAGTCACTATGATTGTCAGATTTTTGGAGCAAGTCAGAGGGAAACAAATTTTATCAGTTTCCTTGATAAAAATAAACGCACTGTAATTGTTGTTCTATTGACTACCATACCAAAATGATTCATTCGTAATTTCTAATAAAACTTGTAAGAAATTTACTCGACTGAATTTTTGAAAATTTATCGTCATTTTCTATTAGAGAATATACAAACATTTCCATTGCATTATACATTTCTTCGCGTATCTATCGTTTCGATTCCTTTGGTACACATAAATACACTATAATTGTTGTTCTATTGACTACCAAACCAAAATGACCCATTCGTAATTTCTAATAAAACTTGTAAGAAATTTACTCGACTGAATTTTTGAAAATTTATCGTCATTTTCTATTAGAGAATATACAAACATTTCCATTGCATTATACATTTCTTCGCGTATCTATCGTTTCGATTCCTTTGGTACAAATAAATACACTATAATTGTTGTTCTATTGACTACCAAACCAAAATGACCCATTCGTAATTTCTAATAAAACTTGTAAGAAATTTACTCGACTGAATTTTTGAAAATTTATCGTCATTTTCTATTAGAGAATATACAAACATTTCCATTGCATTATACATTTCTTCGCGTATCTATCGTTTCGATTCCTTTGGTACACATAAATACACTATAATTGTTGTTCTATTGACTACCAAACCAAAATGACCCATTCGTAATTTCTAATAAAACTTGTAAGAAATTTACTCGACTGAATTTTTGAAAATTTATCGTCATTTTCTATTAGAGAATATACAAACATTTCCATTGCATTATACATTTCTTCGCGTATCTATCGTTTCGATTCCTTTGGTACAAATAAATACACTATAATTGTTGTTCTATTGACTACCAAACCAAAATGACCCATTCGTAATTTCTAATAAAACTTGTAAGAAATTTACTCGACTGAATTTTTGAAAATTTATCGTCATTTTCTATTAGAGAATATACAAACATTTCCATTGCATTATACATTTCTTCGCGTATCTATCGTTTCGATTCCTTTGGTACAAATAAATACACTATAATTGTTGTTCTATTGACTACCAAACCAAAATGACCCATTCGTAATTTCTAATAAAACTTGTAAGAAATTTACTCGACTGAATTTTTGAAAATTTATCGTCATTTTCTATTAGAGAATATACAAACATTTCCATTGCATTATACATTTCTTCGCGTATCTATCGTTTCGATTCCTTTGGTACACATAAATACACTATAATTGTTGTTCTATTGACTACCAAACCAAAATGACCCATTCGTAATTTCTAATAAAACTTGTAAGAAATTTACTCGACTGAATTTTTGAAAATTTATCGTCATTTTCTATTAGAGAATATACAAACATTTCCATTGCATTATACATTTCTTCGCGTATCTATCGTTTCGATTCCTTTGGTACAAATAAATACACTATAATTGTTGTTCTATTGACTACCAAACCAAAATGACCCATTCGTAATTTCTAATAAAACTTGTAAGAAATTTACTCGACTGAATTTTTGAAAATTTATCGTCATTTTCTATTAGAGAATATACAAACATTTCCATTGCATTATACATTTCTTCGCGTATCTATCGTTTCGATTCCTTTGGTACAAATAAATACACTATAATTGTTGTTCTATTGACTACCAAACCAAAATGACCCATTCGTAATTTCTAATAAAACTTGTAAGAAATTTACTCGACTGAATTTTTGAAAATTTATCGTCATTTTCTATTAGAGAATATACAAACATTTCCATTGCATTATACATTTCTTCGCGTATCTATCGTTTCGATTCCTTTGGTACACATAAATACACTATAATTGTTGTTCTATTGACTACCAAACCAAAATGACCCATTCGTAATTTCTAATAAAACTTGTAAGAAATTTACTCGACTGAATTTTTGAAAATTTATCGTCATTTTCTATTAGAGAATATACAAACATTTCCATTGCATTATACATTTCTTCTCGTATCTATCGTTTCGATTCCTTTGATACAAATAAATACACTATAATTGTCGGTAGTTCTAGTGTTAAAAACCCCTAATCTAATATCGAATGAAATGCAATTTAGTATTACATTCATATGAAATTTTTTAAATAGAAAATAATAGAATTTGTAGAAGTTGTTCGATAATAAATCCTGTTAAAAAACCCCTAATGTAATATCGAATGAAATGCAATTTAGTATTACATTCATATGAAATTTTTGATATAGAAAATAATAGAATTTGTAGAAGTTGTTCGATAATAAATCCTGTTAAAAAACCCCTAATGTAATATCGAATGAAATGCAATTTAGTATTACATTCATATGAAATTTTTGATATAGAAAATAATAGAATTTGTAGAAGTTGTTCGATAATAAATCCTGTTAAAAAACCCCTAATGTAATATCGAATGAAATGCAATTTAGTATTACATTCATATGAAATTTTTGATATAGAAAATAATAGAATTTGTAGAAGTTGTTCGATAATAAATCCTGTTAAAGAAACCCCTAATGTAATATCGAATGAAATGCAATTTAGTATTACATTCATATGAAATTTTTGATATAGAAAATAATAGAATTTGTAGAAGTTGTTCGATAATAAATCCTGTTAAAAAACCCCTAATGTAATATCGAATGAAATGCAATTTAGTATTACATTCATATGAAATTTTTGATATAGAAAATAATAGAATTTGTAGAAGTTGTTCGATAATAAATCCTGTTAAAGAAACCCCTAATGTAATATCGACTGAAATGTAATTAATATTAAGCTCGTATGAAATTTTTGATATTAAATGTAATCTGAATAAAATAACGATTGCGTGGCCGCCTAATTGATGCCAAGTTCTCGCAATCGATAATCTCCATTGAAAAATTCGTTTAATCATCATCTCGTTCGGCGATTTCAGTAACGTGATTCTGCAGAAATCCAATTCGAGTTAACGTTACTGATGTCCATCGGCGTGAGCCAACCATGAGCCAACAAGAAAAAGAATGAGTTACAGTACTGATAATACTCTGTCAATTGTACGATATTGCGTAACCTTGTAAACGCATGTTGATCGATCATGGAACAATAACGTTTTTTTTGTTTCTTCGCAAAGTGCTGTTTCGATGTGACATTATGAAAGAATGACATTTTATAGTAATTCCAAGAGGACCACGAGATCTCGAAAAATAACTATTGCTAGCAACCGTGACAAGCAATTTGCAAAATTCCAAAATACCATGAATCTACATCCATCTTCACCCTAATTCTGTCAGCCCCTATATCAATCCGCCAATTTGACAGAATTAATCACAGAATTAAAAATATCACTATATTGATAATAATTTAGAAATTGTTCAATTCGAAGATACCAAAAGAACAGTAAAAGTAATAGAAATTTCAAACAGAATTTCACTGCTCCGTTATCGTGTTTGCAGAATTTTTGGCTCGACGATTATTTAACAATTATTGTTATCGCCAATCGATAACGACTATCGTTTGAATTCTTATTATTTCACCTGTAATTTTCCAGCGTGAAGAATCGTTATAACGGTGACTCACCTTGTATGTGGTTTCCAAGGATCGAGAAAGATCTAAACGACGAGGATGATGCGCAGGCAATTAATTTTAGAGAAAGAACGATCCGTTTCTTTATCGCATAGACATTGACTTAACGAATTTCGATGTTGTTGTTCAAACGGAAATATAGTTATATAATAGTTGAATTCTGTTAGAAAATAATGGAGTACGATAAGAGATTGCGTATTTTCGCCCAAGAAGTTCATCGTAGCTTAAAGGTAGCTTAAACGTCGCGTAATTAATAATAAATTTTTGTTACGAAATACTTAGTCACGAGTAGTAACCAGTCGTATTAATTACCTTACACGCGAGTCGTATCTTGTTTATTAACGCCACGCCTATCTTTCTTTCTTTCGTGAAAGCGACGAGAGATAATGGGCCTCGTAACTGATTCCAGATATGCCCGACACTCGTGCATTCACGGAGTTTGAAGAGTCTTTAAAATATCTAATCTGTTCATTAAACTGAAGTTCTTGCTCCTCGAAATAGGTTGTTTGTTACTATAAATCATATTCGATGCGAAATCGGAAGAAGCTTTAATAAGATCTGATACAGATTAGAATAGGTAGTCTCTGAACAAGCAACTACATATCATAGAATATTAATTTGTTTAACGTCTGAGACAACGCGAGGAGATAGGTTTCCAAACATTTATTATCATCCACTTGCAAGAATTGTAGATCATTGACGATCCACTGGAGAACAAAGAATATTGACTGCCTAACAAT